CTACTGGGAACACTAGTATGATGTACTGGTGATCTGTTCAACTGTGGAGACTAGCATGATGTACTGGTGATCAGTTCTACTGGGAAGACCATCACGATGTTCTGTTGATCTGTTCTACAGGGAACACTAGCATTAGGTCCTGCTGATGTGTTCTACTGGGGAGTTTATCATAATGTACAAGTGATCTGTTCTAATATGGACACTAGCATGATGTACTGGTGACCTGTTCTACTGGGTAGTCTATCATTATGTACTGGTGATATGCTCTACTGGGGACTCTAGCATGAGGTACTTGTGATCTGTTCTACTGGGGTGTATGTCATAATGTACTGGTGATCTGTTCTAATAGTGACTCGAGCATGATGTACTGGTGATCTTTCTACCTGGGACACTAGCATGAGATACTGGTGATCTTTTCAAACTGAGTAGACTAGCATGATGTACTGGTGATCTGTTCTACTGGGGAGACTAGCATGATGTACTGGTGATGTGTTCTACTGGGGAGTCTGTCATGATGTACTGGTGATCTGTTCTACTGGGAACACCAGCATGATGTACTGGTTATCTGTTCTACTGGGGAGACCATCATGATGCATTGTTGATCTGTTCTTCTGGGAACACTAGCATGATGTACTGGTGATATGTTCTACTAAAGACACTAGCATGACGTACTGGTGATATGTTCTACTGGAACCCTAGCATGATATACTGGTGATCTGTTCTACTGGCGAGACTAGCATGATGTACTGGTGACCTGTTCTAATTGGAAGACTAGCATGAGGTACCGGTGATGTGTCCTACAAGGGACACTAGCATGATGTATTGGTGATCTGTTCTACTGGGGAGACTATCATGAGGTACTTGTGATCTGTTCTGGTGGGGAGACTAGCATGATGTACTGGTGATCTGTTCTACTCTGGAACCTATCATGATGTACTGGTGATATGTTCTAATCTAGAGATTTTCATGGTGTACTGGTGATCTGTTCTACTGGGGAGCCTATCATGATGTACTGGTGATCTGTTCTACTGGGAACACTTGCATGATAAACTGGTGATCTGTTCTATTGGAGAGCCTAACAAGATGTACTGGTGATCTATTCTACTGGTGACACTAGCATGATGTACTGGTGATCTGTTTCAATAGTGATACTAGCATGATGTACTGTTGACCTCTTCTACTGGGAACACTATCATGATGTACTGGTGATCTGTTCTACTGGGGGGACTGCATGATGTACTGGTGATATGTTTTAATAGTGACACTAGCATGATGTACTTATGATCTTTCTACTTGGGACACTAGCATGATATACAGGTGATCTTTTCTACTGAGTAGACTAGCATGATGTACTGGTGATCTGTTCTAATAGGGACACTAGCATGATGTACTGGTTATCTGTTCCACTGGGGAGTCTGTCATGATGTACTGGTGATCTGTTCTAGTAGTGACACTAGCATGATGTACTGGTGATCATTCTTCTTTGGACACTAGCATGATATACTGGTAATCTGTTCTACTGGGGAGTCTATCATGATGTACTGGTGATGTGTCCTACTAGGGACACCAGCTTGATGTACTTGTGATCTTTTCTACTGAGTAGACTAGAATGGTGTACTGGTGATCTGTTCTACTGGAGAGACTAGCATGATGTACTGGTGATCTGTTCTACTGGGGAGTCTGTCATGATGTACAGGTGATCTGTTCTACTGGGAACACTAGCATGATGTCCTGGTTGTCTGTTCTACTGGTGAGACCATCATCATGTATTCGTGATCTGTTCTACTGGGAACACTAGCATGATGTACTGGTGATATGTTCTACTTAAGACACTAGCATGACGTACTGGTGATATATTCTACTGGAACCCTAGTATGATATACTGGTGGTCTGTTCTACTGGCGAGACTAGCATGATGTACTGGTGTCCTGTTCTACTGGGAAGACTAGCATGAGGTACCTGTGATGTGTCCTACAAGGGACACTATCATGATGTATTGGTGATCTGTTCTACTGGGGAGACTATCATGAGGTACTTGTGATCTGTTGTACTCTGGAGACTATCATGATGTACTGGTGATATGTTCTAATCTAGAGATTTTCATGGTGTACTGGTGATCTGTTCTACTGGGGAGTCTATCATGATGTACTGGTGATCTGTTCTACTGGGGACACTAGCATGATGTACTGGTGATCTGTTTTCATAGTGACACTAGCATGATGTACTTATGATCTTTCTACTTAGGACACTAGCATGATATACTCGTGATCTTTTCTACTGAGTAGACTAGCATGATGTACTGGTGATCTGTTCTACTGGGGAAACTAGCATGATGTACTGGTTATCTGTTCTACTGGGGAGACTAGCATGATGTACTAGCGATCTGTTCTACTGGGGAGTCTATCATGATGTACTTGTGACCTGTTCTAATAGGGACACTAGCATGATGTACTGGTTAGCTGTTCTACTGGGGAGTGTGTCATGATGTACTGGTGATCTGTTCTAATATTGACACTAGCATGATGTACTGGTGATCATTCTTCTTTGGACACTAGCATGATATACTGGTGATCTGTTCTACTGGGGAGACTATCATGATGTACTGGCGATGTGTCCTACTAGGGACACTAGCATGATGTACTGGTGATCTTTTCTACTGAGTAGACTAGCATGATGTACTGGTGATCTGTTCTACTGGGGAGACTAGCATTATGTACTGGTGATCTGTTCTACTGGGGAGTCTGTCATGATGTACAGGTGATCTGTGCTACTGGGAACACTAGCATGATGTACTGGTTATCTGTTCCACTGGGGAGACTATCATGATGTATTGGTGATCTGTTCTACTGGGGAGACCATCATGATGCACTGTTGATCTGTTCTACTGGGAACACTAGCATGATGTACTGGTGATATGTTCTAGTAGGGACACTAGCATGATGTACTGGTGATCTGTTCTACTAGGGAGACTAGCATGATGTACTGGTGATCTGTTCTACTGGGGAGACTAGCATGATGTACTGGTGATCTGTTCTACTGGGGAGACTAGCATGATGTACTGGTGATCTGTTCTACTGGGGAAACTAATCATGATGTACTGGTGATCTGTTCTACTGGGGAGACTAGCATGATGTACTGGTGATATGTTCTAGTAGGGACACTAGCATGATGTACTTGTGATATGTTCTACTGGAGACACTAGCATGACGTACTGGTGATATGTTCTACTGGGACACTAGCATGATATACTGGTGATCTGTTCTACTTGGGAGACTAGCATGATGTACTGGTGATCTGTTCTACTGGGGACACTAGAATGATATACTGGTGACCTGTTCTACTGGGGAGGCTAGCATGATGTACTGGTGATCTGTTCAACTGGGTAGACTAGCATGATGTACTTGTGGTCTGTTCTACTAGGGACACTAGCATGATATACTGGTGGTCTGTTCTACTGGGGAGACTAGCATGATGTACTGGTGATTTTGTCTACTGGGGAGACTATCATGATCTACTGGTGATTTGTTCTACTGGGGAGACTAGCATGATGTACTGGTTATCTGTTCTACTAGGGAGACTATCATGATGTACTGGTGATATGTATGTATGCTCTGTATATATGTATGCTCTGGAGACTTTCATGATGTACTGGTGATCTGCTCTACTGGGGAGTCTCTTATGATGTACTGGTGATCTGTTCTACTGGGGAGACTAAGATGATATATTGGTGATCTGTTCTACTGGGGAGACTAGCATGATGTACTGGTGATCTATTCTACTAGGAACGCTAACATGATGTACTGGTGATCTGTTCTACTGTATAGTCTATCTTGGTGTACTGGTGATCTATTATACTGGGGACACTAGCATGCTGTACTGTTGATTGTTCTACTGGGGAGTCTATCATGATGTACTTGTGGCCTTTTCTACTAGGGAGTCTGTTGTGATGTACTGGTGATCAGTTCTAAAAGTGACACTTTCATGATGTACTTGTGATCTGTTCTACTGGGGAGAATATCATGATGTACTGCTGATCTGTTCTATTGGGGATACTAGCATGAGGTACTGCTGATCTGTTCTACTGGAGAGACCATGATGATGTACTGGTGATCTGTTCTACTTGGAACTCTAGCATGATGTACTGGTTATCTGTTCTACTAGGGAGACCATCATGATGCACTGTTGAACTGTTCTACTGGGAACACTAGCATGATGTACTGGTGATATGCTCTAGTAGGGACACTAGCATGATGTACTTGTGATATGTTCTACTTGAGACACTAGCATGGCGTACTGGTGATATGTTCTACTGGACACTAGCATGATATACTGGTGATCTGTTCTACTGGGGAGACTAGAATGAGGTACCGGTGATCTGTTGTACTCGGGACACTAGCATGATATATTGGTGATCTGTTCTACTGGGGAGTCTATCACGATGTACTGGTGATGTGTCCTACAAGGGACACTATCATGATGTACTTGTGATCTTGTCTACTGGGGAGACTATCATGATGTACTGGTGATCTGTTCTACTGGGGAGTGCATTATGATGTACTGGTGATCTGTTCTAACGGGGAGACTAGCATGATGTACTGGAGATCTGTTCTACTGGAGTGACTAGCATGATGTACTGGTGATCTATTCTACTGGGAACACTAGCATGAGGTACTGGTGATCTGTTCTAGTAGGAACACTAGCATGATGTACTGGTGATCTATTCTACTGGGAGCACTAGCATGAGGTACTGGTGATCTGTTCTACTTGGGCGATTAGCATGAGGTACTGGTGATCTGTTCTACTGGGAACACTAGCATGATGTACTTGTGATCTATTCTACTTGGGACACTAGCATGATGTACTGGGGATCTGTTCTTCTGGGGAGTCTATCATGATGTACTGGTAATCTGTTCTACCTGGGTGATTAGCATGAGGTACTGTTGTGTAACTATGTATTATCTATGATTCAGCAAATAAGAAATCTATTTTCATTTTTCTAGATGGAACCCTCGTGTGGCGAACCGAAAAGAATGATCACAGCTTCATGTACGGTGGCATCATCAGCAGTGACGATGGCGGTCTCACCGTAACTAAGGCCGGCGACTATCTCGTAATTGGGCACCTCTGTTTTGATACATTTAGCAACGAAATGAACAGGTCTTCAATTATTGAATTATATATTAATCTGGAGTTTTCTCCCGTCTCAGTCTTGGTGACCAAAGTAAAGCTGAGGAATAGAACATACTTGTCCACAAGCTTTACAATTCTGCGAAAACAAATGAAAAAAAATAGTCGTTTCTGGTTCACGTTTCTGGATGACAGCCATGTAAAGTACATTTACGATGATGAGTCAGCTTGCAGTGCACTGACCTTACTTAAAGTACCTTAAACTGCCATTGCAGTGACAGGAGTGAGTGACTATGGTTTTACGACGCTTTTAGCAATGTTCCAGCCATGTCACGGCGGGGGACACCAGAAATTGGCTTCACACATTGTACCTATGTGGGGTAGACGTGACCAAATCTGTAAACAATAGAGCAAACCAAGAACACGTCACTGCGCATTGTAAGCTCACGGGGACACATATAGCTCATTGGATCATAAGGAGCCGCCATTTGTGTCCTAAATCGGCGGTGTGGTTCACGGTTGGCTCTGTACCGTTGTTTCCAAGCTTTTACCAAGAACGTGTTCAAACAGCCCGATGTGTGTGACACAACAAGACCTCACAATTATTATCAATAATGTGGATGTCAGGTTTCCGATTTCGTCCATTTTGTTTATTAAAACCTAATTGTGAGGTTCCTTTTAATCATAATCAATTATTTCCTTCCATATAAATTTAGTTATGGTCGGGATAACTGTTGCTCAGTTACTTGTCATTTGCATGTTCTGATCACCATTGACATGATTTAAGTCCCCGAGATTTTCAAGTAAGTGCTTACAGATCTCAGTCGTTCTGTAGCGTTTCTCAAAACTATTCCAAGTTGTAAAGATCTATTTCTGACACATGTTGTAAATAACTGTTATAACACATGTAAGGAACTGTTTCTGACACATGTTGTAAGAACTGTTATGACATCTATTGTAAAGAACTGTTCATGACATATGTTGCAAAAAACTGTTTATGGCACATGTTGTACAGAACTGTTTCTGACACATGTTGTGAAGAACTATTTCTGACACATGTTGTAAAGAACTAATTATAACGCATGTTGTAAAGAACTGTTTCTGACACATGTTGTAAAGAACTGTTATAACATATGTTGGAAAGCACTGTTTATAACACATGTTGTAAAGAACAGTTTATCACACATGCAAAGAACTGTTATGACATGTGTTGTAAAGAACTGTTTATAACAGATGTTGTAAAGAAATGTTATGACGCATGTTGTAAAGAACTGTTTCTGACACATGTTGTAAAGAACTGTTTATAACAGATGTTGGAAAGAACTGTTTCTGACGCATGTTGTAGAGAACTGTTTCTGACACATGTTGTATAGAACAGTTTATGACACACGTTGTAAAGAACAGTTTATGACACATGTTGTAAAGAACAGTTGATGACACATGTTGTAGAGAGCAGTTGATGACACATGTTATAAAGAATTTTTATGACATATGTTTCAAAGAACATTTTATGACATATGTTGTAAAGACATGTTTCAAAGAACAGCCTTTTGCATATCATCAGTAATTAAGCACATTTCGTCTGAACGAAAATATTTAAATGAAATATCATCATTTTTTAAGTTTCTGTTCTTAAAAGGTAAAAGAAAACATATATAGTTATTCTGTTGTGATGTACATAAGTTTATCATAGTTGTGTATCGGATCTTAAGTTTGCAGTGTTTCAGCGAATGTTTTTAGCCACGTGACTTTTTGACAACTTTTGTAAATTGGGGTGTATACATTCTTTTGTCCAGCAGTTTACGCATTCAGCTAATTATTATATACATATAAATATTGTATATTCAACTAACTGTTATAAGTGTGTACAATATTCCATTAACTGTTTGAAGTGTGTTCTGTATCTGATTAATGTGTTTGGGTTTTTTTGTTTAACGACGCTCTCATCAACATTCCAGCTTTATGACGGCGATCTGTAAATAGTCGAGTGTGGACTGGGCAATCCAGTGATTGACATCATGAGCATCGTAACATATCTTATATTTGGGATTACACATTCTCTGTAAAGTACAGATTCTAGTTCTTTTGTTGGGTGGAGTCCCATCCGGGATTCGAACCCACCTCCTCAGAGTCAGCAACCCAAACCAGGGACTTAACCCACTCAGCCATAGCGGCTTCATGAACATCGATATCTACCCAATGGGGATACGATGCATCAACCAAGTCAGCACTCTTACGAGAATGGCTTTCTGAAGACCATTTATTGTCCATGTCTTTAAGATGTTAAATCATCTGTTTGATGTGTGTTGTGTATTTACTAAACTGTTTAGTGCTTTATACACTGAGATAAAAAATAAACTATACCTATCAGCTGATATTGTTATATGTTTGATTTGGAACTAAGAAAACTACTGGTGAGTCAGGATAAGTTGTGATCTGATTATTAACCCGCACGTCAATGTATGAGGTTCGCCAGCTGCTGAGTACCACGTGACGAAAGGGGTAGCGGGTTGTCCCCGACAAGTATGGTGTCATTTTGTCTCCAAACTAAAACAATGAATTGCATAATAACTCCAAATTGGGAATAGTCCTTTAAATTTCAGTACGCTACTCGGCAATGAATACCATGTACTCAACAATGTCGATGTTAGGTATTCTTAAATCCATCACTGGAGAAAGTTGTTTAAGAAACAATCACGTTGTTATGTGAATAAGTTGACATCCTTAACGGAGGGGTCACAACGATAGGAGGAACAGCGCAAATACGCTACACGAGGTGAGGTGAGGTGAAATTGGGTTTTACGTCGTGCTTGAGAATTTTTCGCTCATATGACGACGTGCATATGTGTTTATGTATGTGTATGTGCGGCTGCTTGTACTAGCCCAGACTGAAGCGGGTTTTATGGTGCTAGCCCACTGAGATACCATCCCGCAGTGAAGCATGAATACCCCACTCAGACACATTATACTCCGAGCCGACCAGTCCTTGTTGTACCCATTAATGCCGAGCGCCAGGCAGGGACCAACAAGTTCCACATTTTAACGTCTTTTGGTATGACACGGTCGGGGATCGAACCCGCGACCTTCCGCTCTCCGGGCGGACGCTCTAACCACTACACCACGGAGGCGGTTACACGACGATACAGGGGATGACAGCATAAGATTCGTTTGTTTGTTGATTGTTGTTTAACGCCGCACTCAAAGGAATCGGGTGATCAGGCTCGCTGACTTGATTGATGCAAGCCTCCTTTGAGCAGGCCGATGCTTATGGCGTCAATCTCTGGATTTACACGCATGGGACACAACCCAACAAAAGTACTGGAATCTGTACTTTACTGAGAAAGTGTAATCCCAAATATAACATGTCTTACGATCAGTCTAAGTAAACTTATGGTCAGTATTATTCGTTACACTGCTACACTGAGTCTAACAAAAAACTAGTAGAAGGTCGCGTCAGCTAACCTTTTGGACTGACCAATCAGAACACAGCTTACCAAATCGCGAACGTTAACCTTCGCACATACCGTTTGAACCTTTACCTCAAAAACTCGAACAATTCCGAATGCTATTTTCCGCACAATCGCTTCCGAATGATACACATGGAGGACGCAATGATTAAACAGTCGCTTAACATAGCGTTTTTGTCAATATTCAAGGATGTCATCTTGTGGACATATAAGCTGATAGTAACCATGTCATTAGAAACCCATAAGCGTATATACTGCAGGTCAAATATCTGTGTTTTATGCGGATTTTTGTTTCTTGATAGATCAGTGTCAGTGACCAAGGAAGAGAAAATCCAAAAAGCCGTTTTGTAAGTCCCGCCGAACCCTAATAAGTAGTCGCCGTTTGCTGAGAGAGGCCACCCATCGCTGGCGCTTATTAGAGGAAATACTGTAGCCAGTTTGGCAAATTCAGTATTCAGACCACGCACCGGTGCGACATCAAACAACAAGCGGCATAAAACAACAAGCAACAAAACCTTCAAAACATATTTCACTCACCACACATTGGCCGACTAATTAAAGAAATAGAAAAATGTAATAAAATATTCAAAGTGATAAAAGTCCATACAAGTGGAAATGACAACGTGTATGCTGTTCCGTGCAGTGCGTGTAGTCACTTGTTAAAAATCACTTTAAACCGTCAAATGCCATGGGAGAGAAGAGCAAAGTGTCCTCTGTGGACCCACGATCAAACATCAATCTCAGGCGGCTTCCGGATACGCCGCTTCATGACTAATACCATAGGTATTACCTGCCGCTCGTGGGGGTCACGATAAGTGGGTGAGTTATCTGGTGGACCCACGATTGTGTGTTTATATCATCCGGCGATAACAGTTCACGGAAGGTTAAACATGCAGGGTCAATAGTTGAACATCGACTTGCACGATTTCTGCAATGTTGATTTTAATGTGTTATTCTGGTGCAGTTAATGATTTATGCAGGTATAAATACAGGTAAGGTAAATTATTTATACAGAGACGGTTTATGATTTACCCGCAGTTAATGATTTATACAGGAACAGTTAATGATTTATACAGGCAAATTTAATGATTTATACAGGTAAATTTAATGATTTATACAGGCACAGTTAATGATTTATACAGGCAAATTTAATGATTTATACAGGTAAATTTAATGATTTATACAGGCACAGTTAATGATTTATACAGGTAAATTTAATGATTTATACAGATACATTTAATGATTTATACAGGTACAGTTAATGATTTATACAGGTACAGTTAATGATTTATGCAGGTATAAATACAGGTAAGGTAAATTATTTATACAGAGACGGTTAATGATTTACCCGCGGTTAATGATTTATACAGGTAAATTTAATGATTTATACAGATAGATTTAATGATTTATACAGGTACAGTTAATGATTTATACAGGTACAGTTCATTATTTATACAGGTACAGTTAATGATTTATACAGGTACAGTTAATGATTTATACAGGTACAGTTAATAAATTATTATGGTAATTATATTATCTATACGGTTACGGTTAATAACGTAAAGAGGCTAATTATTTACACAAATAAAGTTAATGATTTACGCATGAACGTTAATGACTTTTCAGGTAAAGTATATAATAATCTGATGCCACACGTTTAAACATGTGGTCTACGTACTAGATGTCTGTAATTACTGATAAAACGTCATCGCAGGTAGTTGCAAGATGTTTCGTATAGACTGAAAACAGTAAGTAAGTTACTACTTTTACTTCTGGGCCTGTCAGCGTCATACCCAGGCTCGCGGGTTTTTCCAAAGTAGTGAGGTGCAATGGTCTAGTCTAGTGGTTAAATCGCTCGCCTCAGACCCGGGTTCGATTCCCCACATGGGTACAATGTGTGATGCCCATTTCTGGTGTCCCCCGTCGTGATATTGCTAGAATATTGCTAAAAGCGGCGTAAAACAAAGCTCACACACTCTCAAATACTGAACATCTGAGACCTGCATTACTTCGGGTTTTCCTCCCACATTAAGCAGACTTGCCATGAAAAGATGGGAATACTGCAGAAAGCGGCGTTAAACCAATCTGAAACGCTGCAAAACCCTAATGCAGCTTACGGCTTTAATTAGATACCTGATTCATTTACATACGAGCCTCCTTATATATTATTTTCTATGTTTGTAATTACCACAGTCAGTGTATTTCACCAAAATGGCAAATATCTTGTGCCTGCATCAGTTCGTGTTGTACTCACTCACTCACCTCATAAAGCCGCCCTGCGCTGTTACATCAGGAAGACGCTTCACAGCCAAACTCAACTTCACCATGGTACGTGAAGCGTTAATAAAATATATTCCTTGTCTGAGCGTGACTGATATCGTTAAGTGACATATACTTTTTCAACAATGTGTGTCTGTTATCATGTACTTTGACACGGAGTACAATATGTCTAAAGGGGATCGGTATGGCATGACAACGTATGGTATGGATTTTGCTACTTCTTTATTATTTACAACACGACATTTCTGGGCTACTTCTTGTCCCTTCATCAGGTAAATGACAGAATATGATTTACAAGAAAAATATATAGTACGTACAGGGGGCCAGTGAGATGGAATTAAAGATTAAGATGTACAGTTATGAAGGAAATTAAGTGACATGTTTTGATTGAGTTGTTTAAGCAATAGATTGGTTTTGGGATATTAGAGTAGTGTGTACAGCGTTCATACAACGAAAAGGATACACAGTGATTGGGAGTTACTTATGAAAAAAGTGATAGGAAGACACATATCAAACATGTACAGTAATTAGGAGCAACATGGGAAAACATGTACAGTGAACTGGAAGCTTCACGGGAAAATGTACAACGATAGAATGCCAGTAAAAGACTTATTTTTCTTTGCATCAAGCATTCGGCAGGAAAATGAATCTCAACCCCCAATAACAACGGATGGTTCATATTCTAATAATTCTCATTTCAACTGCTGCAAACGCTAGTTTGACAGGTGGTAATTTGCAGCCACTGGCCCATGACGTATGTATTGCAACAGTAATAAGGAAGCACCTTCAGCTGTGTTTGTATTTTTGTTTATTTCAAACCTGTCAGTCATTTCCTCGTGGGAAGTATAATACATAAATACACGTGACTCACCTGGTCTGAGGTTGTACCTGTTGACATGCCTGTGTGGTGAATGTCAGAGGCAGGTAGAGTGATTTCTACGAGGTAAAGTACTGTTAGCCTTGCGTGGGTGAAACGTAAAGACGGATGGCCTCGACTTGCGTGGGGGGAACATAGACTGACGGCCTCGACTTGCGTGGGTGTGCTAGCGGGAAAACGTTACACTGGCGGTGTAGTGTGACCCATTGTTGGTAGGGTGAATGGGGGTTGAACCTCGCATTCAAGGTAATTGCTTACATTGACACGTGACATATGTGTGGGTGGAAGTGGGGTGGTGGATGTTGGTTAGGGGGTGATGGATGTTGTGGATAGTATGTTTTTGTGAATGTGTGTGTGATATATGTCTGTGATATGTGTGTGTGTATATGTGTCTGAGTGTGTGCCTGGTTCAAGTCCAGACAGGGTCGATGGGGTAGCCTAGTGGTTTAAGCGTTCGTTCTTCACGCCTAAGACCTGAGTTCGATTCCCCACATGGGTACAATGTGTGAAGCCTATTTCTGGTGTCTCCCGCCGTGATATTGCTGGAATATTGCTAAAAGCGATGTAAAATCATACTTATTCACGTCCAGAATAACCCTAGTTTTATATAGCTATCCCGCTGAGGTGCCCTGCCGCAGCTTTAATACGGATACCCTCCTCCGACACAGTACACCGATCCCAAAGCGACAAGTCCTGGTTTTATCCACATTTTGCCGAGCGCCAGGCAGGGTAACATCAAATTTCATTT